GTACACACACACATATATACATACATACATATATATATATTATTATATATATATATATATATATACATATATATATATATACATATATATATATACATATATATATATATATTGCAGAATGAATACTTCAGTTATAACATCGCTTCATACACATGCATAAAATTTACACATACACTAAAATAACATATACAGTGTAGTATATAGTATAGTCACTTACTTGACCACAGCCGCAATCATGTCATAGTCGATTGAGTCCAGCTGGTCGTTGTTGTACAGAACTGCCTTTAGGTTGTCACTGCGGTACGTGTCTTTGGAGTACTGGCTGCCTTCGTCATCGTACTCGAAATCGTCAAATTTTGAATTGGTTTTGCCTCCCTGTATTGAATTCATACAGTGTGATGTCTACATTCAACACAATTTCGGTTCAACATATTCTGAAACCATAATTTTTGGACTGCAAAGGTAGTTCTTGGACTGCAAAGCTAGTTTTTGGACTGAAAGAATATAGGTTTTGGACTCGTCGGGTAGTTGGCATTGCCAGCAGATTGAAGTTGGTGATGATTCCTGAAATGAGAGGAACTTCGTAGATGCGCATTAGACAGGGAACGCCGTAGCATTCGGCACCTTACAGGTTCTCTCAATCAGATGTAATCGGACAAGGGACCGAACTTAAGAAAATAAGGTTGGTCAACGGATTGGCTTGCAACTTGAGACATTTTCTGACCTAAATAAGATTCAATCCCAGTTAATCTCCAATGGTCCTAAATAGGATTGACGCCAAATTAATTCAGCGGTGCAGGATGGTAGGTAGTTGCACCTGGTGGGAGGATTCGCAGGCGTTGCACGAGGCCAATCAGATGCTTCGAAAACGGGTGCACAACCTGCATGCACATCGAAACACAAAAAGGGACACCACTTCTGCCCTAGTGAACCAATACGCAAACAACTGGGTGGGCGTATATCATCTAGCTCTATCCTTGAAGTGGCTCCGCCCATCACAACTATGATGAAGACGCGGTACTTTGGGCGCCAAACAAGCGTACTGCATATATATCTGGGCTACACCGACCGTTTGAACATCACAAAACGTCTGGAAGTTCGATACTATTGTCCACTTTTGTTGCACGGTATATATATATGACTTGTAACACTACCTTTCCTCCCTTTTTGGGGCGACGCATGCTAGCTTCAGGAATCAAGTGCCAAGGCATCATATTCAATACTTCATCCAGGTCGTACCTACAAAAGCGGTGAGTATACACTCGGTTTAGAAATACACTCGCACGTTCATACCCGCGTCACACGTGGGCAAATATAGAGATGGATGTCCAGGTAGATACTTATATGAAAATCCACACTCCCCCCGTTCCCCTGCATTTCGATCAGGACATGCGTACGTTTCTGTACACACACACGTATTCCAATATATAAATCTGCGCCAGGGAAGACGCACCCGCCAGCCCCAAATAGTAGTATAGCTATCCCAACACACATTCATATAATAGTGGTCACCACTGGTATCCAGCAGATGCAACCAAGGTATACCGAACTATACCCTACACACGACACCTGGTTCACATAAAGTGTACCTATGTACATGTATATTCATATAATAATTGTTGCTAATGAATACATAGGAAAGCATGTGCAGTGTACGGAGCGTGTGTGTGTATTTGTAACAAATAAACTGTAAACTCTGTGTGATCGGTCTAATGTTTACAGCTGTACACGCAGGGTTTAAGTACATACAACGGGCGATTGACAACAGGCGCTTGTGTTGAGAGGGCGCCACAGCAATGTGGACAAAGGACACTTACAGTACTGGCGTGCTGTGGTCGGTGGCATATCTATAAATAGATACGTTACCAAACACCAAGTGCATTCGACGTGTCAAATATATGATACATATATATGCTATACAAGATATAATACACGCAAATTTAGCATATCAAACCTGATAGGTAGATACACAATACACGTATATAACCACTCAGTCATTGTGATAGCTGTTCGAAAAACGTACCAGTGTAAATGGAGACATACAGACACTGTCACATTGACAAGACAAACGGATACTTCACAACAAACTAAAACGCTAATATATGAATAAACTTTATGTATATCAACAAACATTTACTTTTCATAGTATATACACATTTACTTTTCATAGTATATACACATGGACGTATATATATATAATATGTGA